AAATATTACACGTAATTTCTGCTTTTATTATAATTCGTTAACCTAAATTAATTGCGTTAATCCAGATTTAATGATAAATAACAAATAATATTTGTTCGAAAGATTCAAACACCAGATTTAAGACGGCTTTATCAAAGCTACACGTCCCCTTAAACCTAGCGGAATGAACAGTAACTTTATAGAAGAAAAAGCGGAAATATTAAGGCTGAGCTCAGAGGCAAATTGCTTTATCAACAAAAATGAAAGCATTGCTCTAAAGTAATATGGAATAAATGGTATGACTTTAGAAATCATAAGAATATCAAACTAACTAGTTTTCTGCTCTGAGTGGAGACAAACAAGTTTAAAGTAATTAATTATCAATAAATAGTACAGTTAATTAAACTTGCTTACCCTGTCTAAACTCTTTTAGCATAGTCTCGAGGTTTGTTGTAGAAGGTACAATAATAATGGATCTATTATAAAAGTCGCATATCGTGGAGACAGGCACGTTGTCTTCTACATTAATGAAAGCAAGATCCTTCACATTTAGGATAGCTCTGATGTTACGGCGATCACCCTCATAAACAGGTATTCGAGTGAAGCCGTGTGCAAATATGTCATTCATGGTGTTGAAATCGAGAATTGCAGAGTATTCGAGCATAAATGCATCTGCAAGTGGAGTCATAACGTCCCCGACAGTCTTGGTGGCCATGGTAAGAGCGCCAGTGATAATATTCATCTCATCGGTTGCAACATTCCCGGCCACAGCCTAAAATAATTCCGTAAAAATAAATAAACAAATAATATATAAATATACACATAATAAAACCATAATGTTATAGCGATATTGAGAATATAAGCAAATATGGCTTGAGAGTAAAAATAAATCATTGGCCGAATGAATTTCTAAGCCGTAATTTCCTCATAATATAATGAGCCTAATATGTCTCGGCCTATGATCTGTGTGTCGTCTGCAACAAAAGTGAGTTTCCATCAAGGAATCACTGTGGCTCTGGTCACGCCCAGAAATAAACGTCAGAATTGTGACTGAGGAAAAAACGATTTAGAGTTCGGCATATAATCTCACACACCATATATTCATAAAATCATCGAGCTACGGAGCAAATATAAGACTCAGGACAGTGCAAGTATATCGTAATCTATATCTGTGATGGCAACGCAATGAGAAAGCTGCTATACACCCGAATCCATAAGTGCTACATAAATTTGTCCCTCCATTTCAATATCCCTTATTCGAAGGTATCTAAGCATCTCAAAAACAAATTCAGCTCATAGTTAAAGTGAATGATATTATATGCTTGTCTACCATGCACTTCTGACCACTCAGTATCAGAGTACTATGGACTCAAATCATATTCCTGGAATCTCTTAAAGATAGTTGTCATTATAATGCTTTATTGAGACATGACTGAGCATTTCGAATGAAAACTTAGATGGGAGGTAATTTGTGAAATGATCACACCGTAAACCGAAGGATTACCGCAAATTCAAGACTGTTGGATTGTGCCAAGAAGTCCTCGGCCCACCGTCCTGCGACTCCAATGAAAATATGCTAAACCTTCGTCCGTACAATCGTAGCAGACACCAATAGAGCAAGAATCCATAATTTACGAAATATCGCAAAAATATAGTAAACG